TAATCAGTGAGCCCACAGCTGCAGCTATGGCTTATGGACTTCACAAAGTTGATGTGTTTAATGTTCTGGTGGTGGATTTGGGTGGAGGAACTTTGGATGTGTCTCTGTTGAACAAGATGGGAGGGATGTTCTACACACGAGCCATGGCAGGTGAGAAAAATTCTTTTGTTTCTGAAGGAGTGAGAGGAAAGGTGCATATGAAGTTGCCATTGGAGGAGCTTTCTAAAACCTACCAGTTGTGTCACAAAATGTTCTCCCAAAGCATTCTCTGCTGCTTTTCATGCAGAATTAGGTTTGTGACTGGTTTCAGCGAGTAAGATCACAGAGTCACAGGTTTTGACTGACTCAAGGGGTAAGTTGTGGTTTCATTTTATCCATAGCTGTCAACTTTTGTGCCCACTAGTAAAGTGCTGGTGCATGTTACAGTTACTTTGACTGGGCTTTTGCAGGGCTAGGCTTGTTACAAATCTTCCTGTTACCTTTGTCCAAACTGGGAATACTTGGCAAATCATTGACCAGGGCTGAAAAGCATCCCGGCTTTGTGTTTGGTGCCAGCTCAGTGGAGCGGGTTTTGGGAATGCCTGTGCCCAGAAGTAAGTTTTGTGATTCCTGTGTGCCAGGATGATTCATCACTCGGCACAGAAGCAAGTGGCAGCAATATTTGGTCAGACTGTAGTGAGTGCACGACTGCCTTTCAGATGACTTGGGTGCAGACAGGTCTGAGGTGCAGTGCCAACCTTGATGAGCAAGTTTTGATGTGAGCTGCTGTAAGAGTGGAATGGCAAGGAAGATTCAGCAGCTTCATTCTGATTTATTTAGACAGAGGTCCACTGAGTGAGTTCCTGTTCTCAGTCAAAACAAAACAATGGAAATTATTATCCATCATTTGTTCTTCAGGGGACAACAATTTTGTCTGTTTTCACAGCTCTGTGAGCTCTTGTGCTTGCATGATTGTTCTGGTCCTTGAGCACCACCTCCCAGTAAAGAAGATGCATGCTGCTTTGAAAGTGAGGTGTCTGATGCCTTCTATTCTGTTCTTTCAGGTAACAACAAACTTGGAGGACAGGATTTCAATCAAAGGTTGATGCTGCATTTGTACGATCATCTCCGTCAAACATACGGTTCTCTACCTACCCGAAAGGAAGAGATCCACCGCCTCAGACAGGCTGTGGAAGCAGTTAAATTAAATCTGACTGTTCATGAGGCAGCTACGCTCAGTGTGGTGTTGACTCTGCCAGAAAACAGGCTTACCAAAGCACTTCCAAAAAGTCAGGTAAAACCAAACAGTGCGCTGAAAGGCGAGCCTTCACAAAAAACAAGAGACCTGAACAGTCTTGGAGACACTTCCAAAGTAGAGAACGGCTTTGTTGAAGTTGTGTTTGAAATGGAAATCTCTCGGAAGCTGTTTGAGATGTTAAATGAAGACCTTTTTGAGAAGATTCTTGTGCCCATTGAACAAGTGTTGAAGGATGGCCACGTAGACAAAGGAGAAGTGGATGAAATTGTGTTAGTCGGTGGCTCCACACGGATTCCCCAAATACGTAAAGTTATTCGGGACTTCTTTGGAAAGGAACCCAACACCTCTGTAGATCCTGACCTGGCAGTTGTGACAGGCGTAGCCATCCAAGCAGGAATTGTTGCAGGGTCCTGGCCTCTTCAAGTCAGTGCCGTAGAAATCCCTAATAAGAATTTACAGAAGACTAATTTTAACTGAAAAGAAACTCTTCCCAATTGCATTCCAGCTCTCCAAAAGTGAGCTCTGAAGGTGCACACTCATCTGACTGGCAGTGGAGCCTAATCTTAGCTGTATTCTATTCCATTTTTATCTGTTCCAGTGAGGTGTTACTGGACACCTACCTGTGTTAAAGCTTGATGTTACTTTAAAGGTACAAACGAGTTCTGAAGTGTGCTGTATTTACTTGGAGATTGGCTATTGGATGAAAATGCTAGTGATGACACACCCACATTTTCTTGCTAAATTTTATTAGCAAATCCTGGAGCGGTGTGTGTTTAAAATATAAAGGGACTGTGACCAAAGGTTTGAGATAATGTGGTACTGTAGGTATGCCCAGGTCCAATATATTTACTTTTACTGTGAAGCAGTGTTAACGCACAGAGCACTGGCAGTGCTCAGCTTACATTTATTTATTAGATTGAGCCATTTGAGCATTTAAGCACCTTTCTAAAAGGCATGTTGCAGCTTGAATGAGACTTAGGCATTCACTTGATTCTTCTGCTGTTCATAACAGCATAATGGTATTGCTGAGGCTCTATGGAGAATTGTCTCACGTTTTGGGAAACCTTATTGAAAACATAGCTCTTGCCAACATAGTTACTTGATGTGTCTCCAAGGCCTTAATTCCTGATCTGGCTGTGATGGTTAACACACAGGTGCTGCTGTTCTACCACTGATGTTCTCCACAGAGAACAAGGGTGTATTGCCAGATATTCATAGCTCCCCTGCCTTGTTTTAAAACTGCAGTAATTTTATGTATCTTAAAGCCACACTTGTCTGTCTATCCTTGAATTCGACCAATAGAGATTTCACTGTTGTTCATCTGCGAGTGTGTGATGTCTTTCCCCTGATGGACCGAAAGCCATACTGTCCTCAGGGAGAAAGTGTGGGACAGAAGGGATGGCCTGGATGAAGTCTAGTTCCTGTAATCCTAGTAAATGAAAATTGACCCAACTCCTTCATAGTTTTTAGCTCATATCTCTGGATTAAGTTTTGTCATGCCCTCACTCTAAACTGAACAGAAGTTGTAGCTGTCCTATTGGGAAAAAAACAGTGTATGTACCTTGGGGTTTGAGGTGGCACTTCTTAGGACTCTGTTTTAGACACATAGTTTGCTATGCAGTTATCTTGAAAGTGCACGAGGAGAAAAAAATTACTGATCTGAAAAAAACCCTAATTGGTGACAGTACTACTCTCTTTGGAGGAATAAAGCAATACTTAAAGGCCAGTTGAATTCTTTTATCTGTGTGGAAATTTCTATGATAAAAACATGTCATTCAGCCAAGACTGGCTTCAACACCCATCAGCCCAGTCTTCACCAGGTAAGTTCTAGTAACAGGTGGTTCTAAGCATTTTCTTGTCTTCTCCAGAATAATTTTGTTTGTATTAAACCTTGCCAAAAGTTAATGTGGGGCTTAGATTTATTGTTTGAACCTATGACTATATTAAAATAGGCTTATTACTCTCTTGGCAGTAGATCTGATTTATGGCACTGCCATAAATCAGTTGTGCTGACTCAGCTGTTTGCGTAGCTATTGTCTAAACGTATCTTTGAAGTAATCCAATTAAAAACCTCTTAAATTGAATCATAGCTGCACACAGCATTCCATCAACATTGTTTAACTTGACAGAGGATTCCCGAAATACTGCTAACATCTGTTTCATTTCCCTGAGTTGAAGGCCAAAGTGATTTTTTTTTTTATTTGAGGATTCTTTTTCCCTTTGTGCCTCTTTGAAAGTGACCCCACCGAAGTCCATATGGAACTTCCAGTAGCTAAAACTCCTGCAGTGAAAGAAGTGCCTTTCCAGGGAAACCATGCATGAATGCCAATTGGTACAGTCCTCAACTGCTGTTTGGGGCCTTTGCTTTGCAGATATAAATGTGTTCAACATACATTCCAATGTCTTTGGAATCATTGTGACCTTTCCTTCTGCTGTGCTGTGAATTCATCTCAAAACCTGCTGGAGTTACAGTAGGGCTTTAGTCTTCATATCTTTAATGCACTGTGTAAAACTAGCAGACCTGTGTAAAAACAGAACCACATCACAGTAAGTTAAGCGATTTAAAAGTTTTCTGCAGTTTTGGGACAAGTTGTCCCAAGGAGTGTGTGGGAGTAACTTTAATCTGATAAACTCTCGAGGCAAATAAATGAAGTACTTTTGTTTGTTTCACATACTCCTTCACTCTGAAGGAGTTAAATCTCCTTCAGCATTAATCTGGGAATTGGAAGGGAAGGATGAGTTGTTTACTTGTAAAAAAAAAATTCACAAAAGGGTATTTATTCAGATTTCTATACAGGTTGGGTTTTTTAGTGGAGCAATTACTGTACATTGGGTATCTCACAATGCATCGTTATTTATTAAATAACTTTTGAATTCTGCAAATTATTTATTTTGTATCTTTTAATACTGTATTTTGGCACAAACCATTGAATTTTAAAGATGAGTCTGCTGTACTAAGTGGATATTTCCAGGTATGCACATGGGTTGCTTATCAAAAGTCTCTCTTTAAACAAATTGATATTTGAAGCCTGAAATCTTTCTAAAATCCTTGAAATCTACAGTTGCCTGTGGTGTTAGATGTGTAACAAGTTTCTATAGCTTAAGCCTGTCTTGTGAGTTGAAATTCTGAAAGCATTAAGAGGCCTCAACAGTTGTATGTTCCTGAATTGTTTCCCAGTGCAGATGATGAAATGCATTTTATAAATAACATTTTTAGAATGTTTTTAATAAAAGCAATTTCTATCCCTTCTGAGCCTCATTCTCACTTCTCACAGACCTGCTCTGGTCCCTTGGCTGTCCCACCCTTCCTTTCCCTATCCCAAGGTACCTGGCTGGAAAAGGAGTCCAAGAGTAGCTCCTCAAGGAGATGAACAGTTGGGTCCCTCTCAGGATCTCCAGCCAAGTGAAGGTCACCTGCCCAGACCCAACAGGCCCAAACACCTTCTCAGGACTCTGAGCAGGTGGTGGCCCTGTGGGGCAGAGCCTTTCTCACATGGTGGGTGGCTATGAATGGTCCCTCAGGACAAGACTGGGACCTGGGAGGCTTAGGGGAATTCCTGTTTGGAGGAGAAAGGGCAGAAGGGACAAGGTGTGCACTGAGCTGGCCTGCAAGGCTACATGGCTTTGTGCTGGCAAGGGAGTTGGCTGGTGCTGTGATGTTTTGGTGGGTTGGGTACTACAAAACCTGAGTTAATAGTGAACTCAGTCAAGTGGTCCTTTGTTTCTTAGAGTGCCTCTGACATCGGGGGTGTGAGGTGAGGAGAGGCTGCAAACCCTGGGTGATGTGCTTAATGCAAAACTGCCTTTCCTTGCTTACTTAAGTCTGTTAGGTGATTTATTTTGGTAAGCCATTGCTGCATGGGAACAGCAGGAGCATATCATGCTGCTTCTGCCTCCTTTTACAAAGTTAAATGTGAGGGGTACAGCTTGCTGAAAGAGATGGAATGTCTATTTGGCTTTGCTGACAGCATTTTCTTTTCACTCAGACTTTGAAATTGTTCAGTCTGCAGCTCTCCCAGCTGTGGTCTGAAGGGAGTCTGAAGCAGAAAGGCTATGTCAGCCCAGCAGTAAGCACAGAAAACCCTCTTTCTCACAAATAATACTAAATAAAGAAAGGAAAGATTACCATGCACCAATGCCAGTCCTCAGATTATTTTCTCTGGACCTTGCAAAAGGGATTGGTCTCTGAGGTACTGAAGTCTACCTCTCCTTATGCCTAAAACTTATTAATCACTTATGGAATGGCACTCACTTCAGTTCTTTCCAGTGCATCTGCAATACTTCAGGTAAGGACAGGTTTGGAGAGGCAGCATGAAAAGGCAGGGAAGGCATGGGGACAAGGTTGGGGGAAGCAGAGCCACAGAAGAGCCTGCCTGGGCCACTGTGAATGTGGCAGGGAAGGTACATGTGGGCATGAAAACATTCTGCTCAGTTGGGAAGGTATTGCTGGCCTCATTTGGGAGAAAAAAGAAGAAAAGAGAAGAAAAGCAGAACATTTTTCTGTTTCTTGAGAATTATTTTCCAACACGCATCTCTCCAGGACTTTCAGAACATAATAGTTACTTGGGCTGGGTTGTTCCTAGTCTAAAACCATTATATGTTTCTAATAGTTTTCTGGGAGTGATAGTATGTTGAGTTGTGTTTTGCAGCCAGTTAAACTGGACAGTACTTTGTAATGTATGAGGATAGGCTTGAGTTTTTACCTTCAGGAAAGAAGAGAGAAATCATTCACCTTCAGTTGAATCATTCACCTGCAGTAGAATCACATCTTTGAGGAACTCTCTTCAGAGAGTCTCCACCACCCTTCTAAAACAGCAAATATGTTCTGCTTGCTATTGGGCAAGAAATTAAGATCATACTTGATATAAACCAGGTGTCAATATTAAGCTAATATAACAGGGCTGTAGCCTGGAATTTTATTCAGGTACCTTTTTTTTTTTTTAAAGCAATCGATGGGGATCTTATCTTAAAAATCTAAGTGAAGATTGATTACACTGGTTAAGTTGGTATTAAATTGGAAGAGCTTCAGGAACCGTAGTAAAAAGCACATGCATATTTGACTGGCACTTTCAGTAAATGTATATAACCTGTCCTGCTGCTGTAATTAGAATTGAGGTTTACTTTAAAATTTACTAGCAAAGAGGCAGCTGCACCTGACTCTGTTTTTCTGGGATTCTTTCACAATGGGATTTTGTAATGCACAATTAGATACATAAGATGTATGGTTTTCAGTTATTCAGAAATCACAAGGTCAAAAGGCACATTTATTGTCTCAAGAACTACCTAAGTATACATGCACATATGCATGTCTTAAAAACCAGCCTCAAGTGACATCTGTCTGTATGTCCACACAACAAGCAGTTTTGTTTTTCCTGGATGCGTAATCATAATAAGAATGTATTAACTAAATGAGCATAATGACAGAGCAGCTTAATTAAGTACTATTTTTTAATTAAGACCAACCTGTGAACAGCAAGATTTATTTTTCAATCAGTCTTTACCAGTGCAACAGTTAACATATGCCATGAAAATTACTGCTTCATTATGTTGTTCCAGTGCCAATGTGATCAAAAGAAGTGATTTGTATAAAATCTCAAAGTTATTTTAGGAAATGCTATCAATATATACAGATCGTAGCTGTAGTAAACAGCAATGCTGCCAGGAGCTCGAGTGAGTTATTTTATAAGGAATATAAAATATTGCATCTATATATGGGGAATGCCAGAGATCCCTTGAGTGTTCCTTAGGAATTCATTCATTAGTTTTCTTTATCTTCTTATCCCAGCCTCTGCAACCATTTCAGAAAAGGCACCTTTTCGTTGCAACAAATTCTGTGGTGTATCATATTCTAGAATCCTTCCTGCATCCAGAACAAGCACTCTACAATGCAAAAACAGAAAGATAACAGGAGAAGAAAAATCAGATCTTCAACTGTATTTTCCAGTCCTAATACAGATATCTCTGGATAATGGGAAGGCTTATTTAGAAGAAATATAATTGCATTAGTTAATTCATTGGCTTCTAAAGCTAGGAAACACTATGTTAAAAAAACCTTTTGAAAAAGGCATTTTTGCTTAATTGGTAAAAATGCTACAGTATAGTCCATTCACTCTAGAGAATTAAGTGGTCTTATTAGTAGCTTATACCTGTCCCTTAGCAGGAAAATTAGTAAATTAATTCTGTAATTAGAAGGGGGAAGCAGAACACAGGTTATCAATATTTAATTAAAATTGATGCTCAAGTCTTTTTTGATATCTTGGATTACAAAGGTACAAAGACATCAAAGTTACTGGGAGGGTAAACCTCAGTAAGTGAAAAGCTGTTTTTCTAATGGCTTATCAAAACTTACCTCTCTGAATCCATGACTGTATGTAACCTGTGGGCTACAGTTAATACTGTGCAGTTGTGAAACTCTCTTTTGATGGTGGACTGCACAAAGTTGTCCGTTTCCATGTCAACAGAAGCTGTCGCCTCATCCAGGACCAGGATCTTTGTCTTTCGCAGCAAAGCACGGGCCAGACAGAGCAGCTGTCTCTGCCCAACACTGTTAAAAACACATTTGAGAAGGGCAGGTCAGGCACCAGGAGGAAGGGGAGAACAAGGTAAAGCTGAGATTACTGTGAAGCTTATCTGTATTGTCTTTCCTAACAACACTTCCTGAAAGGAACAGTGAAATATGTTCACTTTGTCTTGGAAGTTTCATTTCTTCTTGCTCAGCATATCAATAGTAGTTAAGGTGGGACTCTTCCACACTTGTGGCTGAACTTTATACTGCAAACCTAGTCTTGTCTTCAGTTTCTATATTCACATTATAATGGGCACTCTGAGTAAGCCAGATTGAATGCCAAACCCCTTCTTAATAATGTTCAGTGTAAAAGTCTGGATACTCCTGTGTGTCAGCTGTGGTATGTGCCTCCTAGAACCATCCTCCTACAAATGATCTGTCAAAAAAATTCAGGTTGATATTCAGTGCACTCAACATTGAAGACCTGCCCCTTTGCTGCTGAAAGCTTCAGTGTGTGTCTCCTTGAGTTCAGAGTTCTTTTTTTTCAAGTGTCACCCTCCTTGCATAATGTTTTACAAGGAAAAACTGAGTTTCTTTGCCTATGCAAATAAAGCAAAGGAATAAGCTCTTTGGAGTTTGGTGGCTTTTGGTTTTGTTGGTTTGGGGTTTTTTGTTGTTGTTTTTTTTCCCCGGTTTGAATTTTTTTTTAAATTTAAATTAATGAGTGCTTTTCTGCCCAAATCTAATTAGGTGCTACATGAATTCCAACACCACACTCCCCTTCTTTACACTTCCTTATATACTTGAGCTGAAAATAGTCTACTTCCTTGGCTTCCCATATACCATAGGACTTTATACAGTTGTGACCAGTTGGCCACCTCAAAGAAATTCACACAATCAGAATAATTCTACTTAGAATGACAGAAGTGTCACTTTTATCCTGATACTTTCTGAAGTAAACCCTCTGGAAGGAACACATAGTTTTACAGTACTGGAAAATAACTGCAATGGCACTTTCTTGATTATGTACCTGAGATTGTCACCACCTTCTGAAATCTCATGAAGGAGCTTCTTTGGCAGTGATTGGACAAAATCCTTTAAGTCACACAGTTCCAGCACCTCCCACAGTTCAAGATCAGAGTGTTTTCCAAGCGGATCCAGATTTGACTGCAGTGTCCCAGAAAACAAGATGGGGTCCTAAATAACAGCAGAATGTGAGTGCACAATTCCAACTCAACCCTAAAACAGTTTGCCATAAATCCTTATATAACAGAGAGAACTGGGACAAATAATCTTGGAAATTTTAACAGTCTGAAGCCAGTGAATGGAAGCACAAAAATAATGTGGTGTCTCTGTGAGAAATTTTTTTAGGGTGAAATGTAAAGGGCAAGAGATTTCTTGTGCATTCACTGTGCTCCGGTTCTATGGCTGATTACAGACCTGCCCAGTATGTGGCAACAACCACAACACATGAATTATTACTACTGCTAAGTTTCTGAAGCACTGGAGACTACATCCATGGGCACTGGTAAGTAAAATTAGAAGGCTAAGATTCTAAGTTAAATATGGTTAGAGACACACAGGAAACATTACTGGGGTTAAAGCTCAAAAAAAGTTAGGAAAAAACCCCAAAACCTTCCTTTGAAAAATGTCAGATAAATTTAATGTAAGTGATGTTAGCATCACCCACGCACAAAAATGTTTGTATGAGTGGCATTCAGGGAACGTGCAAAAAGTCTCCACG